TTTTTGAGGAAGTGTCATACCATTTTCAACAGAGGCTGCGCCACAAAATCAGCTTTCAAGTGATTCTCCTGCCTCAGCCTCCCCAGTAGCTGGGACTACAGGCGCCCACCACCATGCAGCTAATTGTTCTATTTTTAGTAGAGAAAGGGTTTCACCATGTTGGTCAGGCTGGTCTCAAACTCCTGAACTCAGGTGATCCGCCTGCCTCAGATTCCCAGAATGTTGGGATTTCAGGTGTGTGCCACTGCACCTGGCCTTTTTGTTTATTTTGTTTTTTGACGGAGTCTGTTGCCCAGGTTGGAGTGCAGTGGTGCAATCTCAGGTCACTACAACCTTCGCCCTCCATGATTAAGCGATTCTCCTGCCTCAGCCTCCTGAGTAGCTGGAACTACAGGTGTGCACCACCATGCCCAGCTAATTTATTCTGTTTTTAATAGAAACCGGGTTGCACCCTGTTGGTCAGGCTGGGTCTTGAACTTCTGGTCTTAAGTGATTGCCTGCCTCAGCCTCCCAAAGTGCTGAGATTACAGGCTTGAGCCACTGTGCCTGGCTGGTACAAGTATAGTTTTATTTTTCTGTATTTTATACAAAATTTTGTATTTTATTACTATTATATTTTGAAGATCTTCCTATTGCAAGACATAGAAAATGTCTTCAATCTTTTTTTACTGCTGCACCATATTCCACTGTAGATGAACCATCTTTTATTTAAGAGATCACTTATGGATGGGCATTCATATTGTTTCCAATTTTTTTTATTGTAACAATCAGTGCTACAGTTAAGCATGTAGCAATTGTCATTTTGCACTTTTGCACTTTATCTGTGGAGGTAATTCCCAGAAGTGAGATTTGTTGCATGCAGGTTTACATGCAAGTAATTTTGTAAAAATAGGTAAATCACCCCACTGTAGAACCTACCATTTGATATTACCTTCCACTAGCCATGAGTGAGATTGCCTGTTTTTCCACAGTTTCGGGGAAAATGGGCTGCCTTGACAAAAGATTTAAATGTGTGACTCCCCAACTTAAAGTTGCTGGAGTCCCTCACTGGCTGCCTACAGGACATACCCATTGGAAGGCCTACGGGGTGCCACCTGATAGGGAGAAGGACCCTCCCGCAACCCTTTACATCACACAGGAATGTACTCAGATTAAAGATTTTGCAGAGTACAGTGTCACTTTTGTTTACAGTTCTTAATCCAATTCTATATGACAGCACTGTTTTTTTCTCTTTTCAGTGCTGTTTCTGAAGAGGCTATCATGTTCTCTTCACTTGCAAAGCCAGGACACCATTAGAAAGGACAGCTCAGTTGTTTCTTACTCTACACATCTTCTTCCTTGCACAGGAAGAATCCAACTAGACATAAGAAATAAAATTTATGGCCGGGTGCAGTGGCTTACGCCTGTAATTCCAGCATTGTGGGAGGCAGAGGCGAGTGGATCACCTGAGGTCAGAAGTTCGAGATCAGTCTGGCCAACATGGTGAAACTCCATCTTGACTAAAAATTAGCTGGCCGTGGTGGTAGGTGCCTGTAATTTCAGCTACTCAGAAGGTTGAGGCAGAGAATTGCTTCAACCAGGGAGGCAGAGGTTGCAGTGAGCCACAGTAAGCTGCAGTGAGCCGAGATTGAGACATTGCGCTCCAGTCTGAGAGACAAGATCAAGATTTTGTCTCAAAAGAGAAATAAATAAGATGTGTATGTCATTTTCCATTTGGCCTTGGTGTCATATGGAACATGTATAAATTATTAGAGCACAGATATGTTTTGTTAAGTGGTCTACAAAAATG